ATATATATTTTTAATTTTTAAAATGTCTAGAAATGAGTCTTTGAGGATAATTAATTTAAAATCTTGTAAACTAGTGACATTTTTATTTTAATCTACTAGATAAAATTCTAATTTTTCGACAAAATCAATCAATCAATCAATCAAGAATGAAGTGAGTTTAGTCAATAATATTCAGCTTTATCAGTACAATATCACATGTCTGACCACATTTATGTATAGTTAATCATCATTTAATTTTGTGTAATGTCTTTTTTATTATGCTTTTGATTTGAAATAAGTTGCTTTTACAACACTATCGATAATACAAATGCCTTGTTATTGATATTTAAAAGTTTTATTTTCATGATGAATAGTAATCGAAACTGATTCTAGGTCGAGCTTCTAATCATGTAGCATAGCTATGATTGATTTCATATGACCAAAAGGTAATATAATCAAAAGATAAATATGAAAGACAAAAATAAACCCTTTTTTTTCTAAGGTCGCCTCCGATAGTTTATCCTAGTCAGACTAATCTTCGGTAAAAAAAACAATCAAGCTTTTTTAACTTTCATAAAACATAAAGAAAAAAAATAGGAAGATAGAATCTCAAGCAGATAAGGGTCATTTGCAAACATCAACATACCAATACATTGAAATCAATCTAGAACTAATTTATCAATTATCAAATCTAACTGTATAAAACTGATACTATCATCGGAGAAAAAACGAATCTTATCGAAATTTAATTATAAACAAGTTTCTTTTTTTGATGTAAAAAGACAACAAATTCAGTATACTTTTCATTTTCATATATTCGTTTCAACATGATATTTTCTTTTAGCCAGAAAATTATTGAATATCATTTACAAGGAAATATTTTCAAATGATTGATCACCTTCTTAGTAAAAGCTGCTGAATTAAAGTTTGTCGATTGTGTTAATTCGGAATAGAATCATAAGAGATCTTCATAGGTCTTTATATGTTGACTTCCGAGGCTAGCAAAAATTTTACAAAAAATCATTATTGATCCATTCAAATTATAGAGCATGCAGAATTGTCTTCCAGTGAATAATATTTTCTGTTTTCCAAAATTCATCTTGAAGATTTTTAAATGTAAATGTTGATATGCATCTATTGTATGAATCAAAGCGACTATATTTTCTACAAAACAAACACTTTGAAACAGAAAATATTATTACAAATTTTGTCAGTTTAGAAAATCAATATATGAAGATCTAAAGGAACTTCTCACAGTCAGATTCAGAATCAACACAGTGGACAACCAAAAATCTAATATTTTTCGCTTAAAAAGCGACTAATCAAATGAAAACATTCCCTTGATAGTCCATTGTAAAACTAATATATAAATTCTAGCACACTTGATTTTATGAAACATGATTTAAAATGAGTGTTGAAGTACACTCTAGACAGGCTGTGACAGACTTTTTTTGATATTAAATCAAAAACCGTATATCCATATCATTTCGTTACAATATATGAACTAGATCCTTATTGTATGTCTGAGAGATTAAGTAAAATGATGGTGAAGATATACGTCCCAAAATAGATACAACAAAACAATCTTTTTGTGATTAGTAACAGCAGCTGCATCGTGTTTTATATGTTAATCCCGTAGGGATTGTGCTGTCAAAATTTCATAGCAACAAATACCCATCTATTTGATCATTAAATATAATATGAATCATTTATGTGTTATAATGCACGAATAATAGATGCAATTATATGATAATATAATTCATATCATTTATTTTAATGCATTGTTAGACAAATGATGCATAGAAAAAAAAACATGAATTGAGATGCATCTATTATTTACACATTATAGTTTTTCATAAAACTAATCTATTAAAAAGCGAGTATAATCCAGATTGCAAGGCACCAATGTTGTATTCTTAGTTATGACTATGTCTACAAAAAATGTAAAACATCAATAAGCCTTTAATAAATATTTGGCTTACATTTTTCTTGTTGAATTTTTTCAAAGATTAAATTATAAAATATTTTTTCTCAAATAATAAAAGCTAGATTGCTTCCTGACATGAAAAGATGACTAATTACTAATATTATGAGTGAGTTTTTAAAGCAGTTAAATTTATTAATGCATGAAAGAAACATAAAGATTACTGCAAGATTTTTTATTTTTAATGTAAAATTTTAAACTTTATTCAACAAAAATATTACGTAGATGACATTCAGTCTCTTAGATATTATTTTTAACAAATGACAAATGTTTTTTTGACAGGATTTCTAAATCAATGTAAAATTGATAGAACACAATCTATCACAAAAGAAACGGCAGTATATTCGAGTACTCTTATTCTTTCTTTTTGAAATACTTATCATTGAATAAAATTTTATTACAATGTGATATTTATTTGATAATGTCATTTTACTAGACTGATACTTGAACTGATTATTGCCAGTATAAATAAATTCCTTGAAAAAACAAAACCTTGTTCGATATCAAATACTTGAAAAATACGAATAGATAAAGCTGTCACGATAATATGTTTCTTAAAATAATTGTATTATTGAAATGAAATGAAATGATTTATTCTTACAAAACAATCATCGAATTAGATATTATCCTATCAAATGATATTAAAAGATGAATAATTTGTCCGATAGATATGTGATATATAGTATTACTCATAGATAAATAAATAATTATTATAACGTAACATGATAAGACAATGACTATCTTTTGAAATTTTATTGATACAATTAGATACAAAATACGTTTTGTTTCTTTTTTTTTGCCCTACGATTCATAGGATCGAAGTAAATAGAGTAGGAGAATAAAATGACGGCGAAAAAAGCAGTAAAGAACGACGTATACGTGATCTCTCTTCCTATGTCAACATATAAAATGCGAGCGAGAGAAAAATGTACACGTATAACGTGTTATCGCCAACATTCACTCTTCTTTACATTCAAACATGCGTTGTATTGTTAGTCTTCTCTATGAAGTTTTTCTTTTCGCAACGTTACTGCATATTATTAATGTAGTTCATTCAAAAAAGATTGAAAATGATCTATCAAAATCAATTCTTGATTTTACACTTGGCTTTACTCGTCATCATTCATCATCAAACATTGTTGGCCGTCGTAATTTAGTTTGGTCACCATTAAGTCTTTATGAAGCAATGCTAATGGTTGCTGAAGGTGCTGATGGTAATACATTTAAAGAATTTGAACATATAACACATTTAAAAACTAAACAAGCATATCGTGAATGGTCAACAAATTTTTTAAATGATGCAAAAAAAAATCAACAAGATAATCGTCAATTCAATATATCTTTAAATATTGCTAATCGTCTTTATGTTGATGATGAATTTGACTTAGATGAAGAATTTAATAAAATTCTCGAAAAATATTATCAAAGTCAATTAGAATTAATTGATTTTAGTGAAAAAGAAAAATCTGCTGAACATATTAATAAATGGATATCAAATCAAACAAATAATATTATAAAAAATATGTTAAAAGCAAATGATATACATCCATTAACACGTATTATGCTTGTTAATGCATTACATTTTAAAGCACCATGGTTTAAACCATTTGATGCTGAATTAACAAAAAAAGAAAATTTTACATTAAGTACAGGTAAATTAATTGAATTACAAACAATGCACTTAATATCACATTTTTCATATTATTATGATAAAAAACATAAATCCCAATGGATTAATTTACCTTATAAAGGAAATAATCGATATGTATTAACACTTGCTTTACCAGATCAAGATATTGAATTACGTGTATTAGAAAAACTTTTACATAATTCAAAAACTTTATTAAATACTTTTTCCATACTTGATAATCGTACACGTTCATTAACACGTATAAGATTATCATTGCCAAAATTTCGTATTGAATCATCATTAGATTTTGTTCAACATTTTAAACAATATTATAATGTTAAATTACCTTTTGATGCTGATAAAGCTGATTTTAGTTTAATGAGTGCAACACGTGAACGTGATTTATTTATATCAAAAATTATACATAAATCTGTTATTGAAGTTGATGAATCTGGTACTGAAGCAGCTGCTGTTACTATTATTCAAATGCTATCTCGTTCAGGAATGTTTCTACATGAAGATCCAATTGAATTAACATTTTTACGACCTTTTCTATTTTATTTACGCGATATTAATATCAAAGTGCCTTTATTTGTAGGTAGATTTACTGGTCTACCTATGTCATGAGAGAATAAAAAAACCACAGTAAAATAAAAATTACCAAGCAGGTGGACGAGGAGAATTAATAGGCGAACCACCTCGTGGTGGTATTGGTGGCACATTTGCAAAAGGTGGAGGATTGCCATAAAAACCACCAGGATGACCAAAAGGTGAACCTCTTCTTCGATGTTCATCACTACTGCTTGATGATGAACGACTTCGATGACGTGGTTTAGATCGACGACGGGATGAATGACGAGATCGAGATCGAGTTCGACCATAAGAACCACTACCGAAATGATGTGGATCAGGATAAGGATATGGTTCCGGAGGAAAAGGAGCACCATATTGAGGCTGTGGTATTGGTGGCATATATGGAGCTGATGGATAACCAAAGCCACTAGGTACCGAAGGAAAATTAAAACCTTGTCCGAATTGAGCACCTATAGATTGTGGAGGGAAGCCAACTGCAGGAGGAGACAAGGGTGGACTACTTTGAAAAATATTTCCTCCAGAAAATGGAACACCACTATTAAAAAATCCTCCAGTACTGCCATATTGTCCGAAACCTTGTTGAGGAAAAGTACCTGAATATGGAAATGAGGTTCCAACACCAAAAAAACTTGTACCATATGGATTCCTAAGAATAATTTTAATATTTAAGAATATATGTTTAAAAACAAATTTCTCCTTACATTTTATTTCGTACTAATGCAAGTGTTACAATAAGAAACAAAAAATGTATGTTTGTATAGTTGAATATTTGTCGATTAATGCGTAAAAGCGAAATCAGTGATGCATGATAATGAGAGAGTATGTATGTGAAAGTAAAAAATAATTAAAAAATGAATACTTTCTTTTTCTTTTCGATTTATACTGTATCATTCGATGCTGCTTGTAAATACATATATAATTATAACTGATATGTACATGATAAAATGAAAATAACGAAAAATATAAACACAATGTTATAATGTGCATCGATACGCCTATAGGACATGGTTTTACAAAAATAGAAATAGTTAAAAACAAAGAGTTTCACGATGGAAACAGAGTTCATTTGAGTACATAGTGATAGTTGGAGACAATCATACAGGGTAGATTACCAATAGCATAATGAACAAAGCAAATGAAATATCTGCGTATTGATTCAATCAAATAGTCTGGTTTTTTGCTTAGTAATAGAAACTTATTTAGAGTTATTTTTGCGTACGGATAAAATAAGTAAATACCATTATCAAGTGTTATTCTTGATATTATGAAAAGAAATGCATTTGCTATCAAGTAAGAAAAATACATGAGTACTGTTTTATAGATGATGATCAATTGTCATCGATGAGAATAAGAAGATATAAAAAAACGAACTATATTGACTTGCATAGAACAAATTTTCAGAACTAGTTAGTTGAAGAGGCAAAGGATTAGAAAATTACGAATTTTCAAATATGGAACACTGATTTTTGTTTTTGTAAGAAAGTTTATGTCTAATAGGTTGTAATTATGCATTTGACTTCTTGGTGCATATTGTTCTTTTTGATGATAACTGAAAATTATCGGTAAGATGATAAAACATTAGAAAAATTTCTAATCTACACTGAAGAAAAAAATATGAAGGTGTGAGTGTCAATATTTTTCTTTTAATCTTTCCACAGCCAACCATTCGAGTGAATCGAAGTGGCGATATTTTTTTCTTTTATTATAGCGTTATTTATAGCCCAATGTATATATTCTTTTCATCAATAAACAAACGATGAAAATCAACTATGAAAGAAACGTTGAAATATGTATAACTGATGAAATGGTACGAAAAATTAAGATAGTAACTTGTAATTTTATTTAATAAAGTTATAAAAATATTACAAACTTATTGTAATAAATCTTGATTTAAATAAAACAATAGAATATACAATAGAAAAAAAATCCAATATATCAATAAATTATCTACCATAGACATCAATATTCCTGTGATACAAAAAGAAAATTGCCAAGAAATACAAAATCACAACAATTAAAAATAAGCAACAGATTTTTGCTATTCGAGATGCAACATTCTTCGACCAGATTCGAATTCCAATCTTATTCAACAGTTTTGCTTTGGTCCAACTAAAGTGTAAATGACATTGTCTACATACCATATGATCACAACCACCATTTTTTTCAATAGGTATTTGACAGCCAGGACATCGTACAGCAAATCGTTTAACCCATTGTTCACTTGTTCCAGACCAATTAGATCTTAATATATACTCTTCCCATAAATTTTGATGGCCAAATTTAACAAGTGCTGCATGAAGAGTAGCTTCTCTTAGCTGAGTATGACATCTTTGTTCGGGACAAATTATCTGTTTTGCGATATCTTGGGAAATAGAAGACAAGATGTATTGATGGAGACATGAATCACACATGGTATTTCGAGACAACGAAAGACATGACGAGCAGCGAGGAATCAAAGTAGATGAGGGTGAATAAGATCTTTGACATACAGTGCATGTTGGGTGTTTATTTGAAGATTTGGATTTACGTCGACCCATAAGAATCAGATATCTTTCTAATCTAATTCACAAATAGTTCGTTATATACATGTATATATCAGAGATGTCCATCGCGGCGCTGTCGCTGCCGCTGCCGCTGCCGCTACCGCTGCCGCGCCGCTGCCGCGGTGGCGGTGGCGGCGCGGCAGCGGCAGGTTTTTAAAAAAAATCACCGCGGCAGCGGCGCGGTAGCGGCAGATTTTTTAAAAAACCATCGCGGCAGCGGCAGGATTGTTTTGGAGGACATTGAAAAACTGTATGAATTTAATAGAATTTCACGATTTACAAATGAAACGCCCTGATATTGAATAAATCTGATGGACTAGTACCCATATCTCTGGTCAAATATAGTCACAGCAGTGAAATTAGAAACACTTTTTTGAAAATCGTCGCGGCAGCGGCGCAGTGGCGGCACGTTTATTTTATAATTCATCGCGGCAGCGGCGCGGCAGCGTTTCTTTTATAAGTCATCGCGGTGCGGCAGCGTCGCGGCAACATTTTTTTATAAACCGTCGCGGCGCGGCAGCGGCAGATTTTCAGCCGCGATGGACATCTCTGGTATATATATATATATATATAACAATTCTTCTATTATGTCGAAAATGTTATTGTTTGGTTTTTCAATGGGTATAGATTGACTACTTCAGGCAAAAAATTTTATGAAAAACTCGACAGCATAAACTGCATCTAGGATGAAATGTTCAGTAAGATGAAACTTCAAACAATTTTCTCTTCAAACTTGGTTTTTTAGAGATTCTATCAAAACCCTTAAAAGAAAACGTTTCATTTTATTATCATCTAGAAATTATGATGAGAGATTTCGACTATGTCGAATCAGTTTTGAATTTCTCATTCATATTATTAGAGGGTTTTCTTAAAATACTCCTACTCCATCACGTCACTAACGAAAAGTAAAAAGAATCTTTTTGAAAAAACTTTAGATAGAGATTTTGTACTCTCAAGTGTTATCTACAGAATCTACTATTTAGTTTTCGAAAATAATGCTTTAATTATGAGTGTTTTAAAGTAAAATACATGAAGTGAAAGTCGATATTGTTTTATGTTTCATATCGTTAATGCTAATTTTTTCAATGATAACTCATCTGAACGAAGATCTCTAGTGCTGATTATTTGGCAATATCTAGAATAATTTAACAGATATTTTACAGATAAAAGATCACCTATAGAGAAATTCATTACCTCAATACATACTTTTTTCAATTTAATGAAGTCTGATCACTAACGAATGTTTTTTCTCAGATATCAAATTTTGTAATATCATTTTTTTTTCAATGTCTATTCATATGATGATTCTTTTAAACAAATCAATTACGTCTCTGAATATTTTCTTTTCTTTAGATGCGACTCTTTTCTTTTTAGGGAACAAAACTTCGCTTTTCTTAAATGTATATAAAGATAAATTTTTGAGGATATAGAACATATCAAAACTATTTTGGCGTAAAAGAAATCAGTAATCTTTTACTTACATTTTGGATAGATTGAATAAAATACTAAAAAGTTTCCTTATATCAATTGATTTTACAGAGAAACACGTGTGATCAATTGACGTGTCTCTTGACACGTCACCTGAATGGATGACTAATTCTACTACTTCTGTTGTGTTTAACAAACTGCTACTATAAATATAAAACAAAACTTATTAACAGTGCATTAGGTATATAGTCAAAATCTGAACTAGATATTATAATTACAAGTTGATTCCCACGTACATCTTTCGTCATAAGAAAAATTTCGAATGCAAATGAACAGATCTTTTGAACTAAGATATATCAACGCTATTGGCTTTATTTCAAATGATTGCGCAATAATAGTAAAATTTTACATCATTTATCTGAATACATGGTCTTTTGAAATTTTCTTCGACTCTTCTTTCTTATTTGACGATGATGCTTTATCTCTACTGTACTTATTAAAGTAAATAAAACAGGTGCGGCCTCTATTCCAACTGATTATGTGTTCATAGTCTTTAATAATATGTAAACCTAAGAAGTTTTGATGAACAATAGTTAACTTTTACGAATCAAATTCAGTCTAAAAATGCAGAGAAAGATTGTATCTGAATCTTGAAAACTTTTGTGGACATTCTGTTGTTAAAATTCAACAAACAATCTAGATAAACAAAATAAATCTCCATTTCTTTTCCTTTCTTTCTTGCTTGTCGCAGCATTTTCATCTTGTATTCGTTTCTATAATATTGCAATTTCATCAAATTCAAACCAAGCGCCACGTTTCATTGCAAAATGACTGCGTCATATTCATATTTCATGATGCATTAGCAAAACAGAACAACACGAAAAAATCAAACAACAACAGAATAAAAAAACTCAATCGCAACAAAAATAAAAGATTCTAAACAAATACTTCAATCCAAATGGAATATTCCAATTAGTGTTATTTTACATGTATAACGCATGTCATAACCTCTTTGATATATAAGATGCTCTACTTTTTTGATTTAGAAAGATATTTCATAACCACAATACAATTGCTCACATATGTGTTTATAACAACACTGTTTATATTCATTGTGCGACTTCTTTTCATATCGTCATTTGATAACATGGTTACTATTGATGGTGAATCTTCAACTTTACTTTCGCTTAGAGACTGTATTTATTTTGCAAATGGCAATTGTGTGTTCAAAAAGAAATGTCATTATCGTCATTGTGAATCAGCTATGAAACAACTAGAAGAATGTTCCAATTGGCCAGATTCATGTCGTAATAAAAACTGTCCTTATCGACATACTAAAAAACCATCTAAAAACCAAAGAT